TTAGAAAAAAAATTTTAAAAATCATATCATGTCAAAAAATCTAGTGATCTACTTGCCTCCGGTTGTTTCTCCTAGAGATGTTCCTATTAAAGCTATAATATTTTTGGTGGATTAAAAAAAATAATTTTTAAAATTGTCGATAACAAATTCTTTAGTAGAATAACATTCCTGCAGAAATTTCGGAGAATACATAAATCTTTGAGAAGTTGGTATTTCTTCCATTGTAAAGTTGTGTTTTCTCCGACTATATTTCTGTTTGAAATCCATATGTCTGGTAAATAATGTATAAACTTCATTGATAGGTACTATACAAATGAAGTTGAAGAAGTTTGCCTAACAAAAAAAGAGTTTTGTCCTGAGAAACATGTTGCATACGAACCATAACCCACCTACCTAGTTTAGAATCACTTCCTCCAAGAAACAACAGGTCATAAATTTAGATTTTCTCCTTTGCATTATTCACATTCAATTCGTTTTATTATCGTTACTTCACCTGATATGTTTCAATGTCCTCCTTGTTCTCTGGTTTTGGTGCCTCTAGATTTTTGCTTGGAGATAATTAAACAATTAAGCATCAGCAATAGATGTATGAGAAATGAGGCAATACAGCAGTTATCTATTTTATTATAAAGTCCTGAGCATAATTCACTAAAAAACTAAAGTAGGTACAGTGAAAAATGTTGAATAATTTTTCAGTTTCATCCAGCTTTCTGGAATGAGGAATCAATTGATTATTCTAACCTGATAAATTTTAGTGTCAGAAAAGTGTGGAAACAGTACAGCACTTCTTTTCGAATGATGAAACAAATTAAGAAAAAAAAACAAATTCACAGATTCTTTTGAATATTGGTATATGCTGTGCCATCTAATAATCAAATTTTTAACTACCTCTAGTGATACAAGCAACCATCCTAAATGTCGTGCTTTCAATACTTTTGTCAATAATAGATGGCACTACAAAGTTTTTGTTCAAAATTTGAAACAAAGCCACTGCAACATTACTTTCTTATTAGTTATATAATAATTATCATTGTTCCTCATTTTGTTATATATTGTCATTATTGGCGACAGTTTAAAATAATAAAACTCACGCTGTCACCTGTTGTATAAATTATGAAACAGAAACTTTGTCATGAATTCCAGTTAATTTACAGTTGTCGCTTTTATCCCGACAGAAGGCTTTTGATTTCAAGCGACAAAAACATAAACAGCTGTTTTTGTTTGTCAATTGTGAAATCAAACAAAAATGAACGAGGAAATAGACGAAAGCGATTTTTACCATCAAGATTTCACCACAGCCTCACAATGGGAAATATTTATGGCGCGTATGGAGGAAATTATAAACCAATGGAAACATGAAGATTCTAAAACTGATGCCCCAAAAGAAACTCCGAATACATGGACCATTAGATCCCAAAAACTGCGATTCGTAGATGTTGAGTTTTGTCTTCACTCAATCAGGAAATCTTTAGAAACTTCAGAAAACTCAGAAAGCTCTGAAAGACATACAGAAGACAGTGAAAAACCACCGGAATTGTCTTCGGCCTTTAAGCATGATTTCGAATTGTACCATGAAAGCTTGGATTTTGAACACTCCTGTCTGCATACCTGGTACGGTGTGAATGACTATATAGTATTGGCTCCCAGAACTGTCGAAATAACCTGCCCAAGCAAAATAAAAATCCTAGTGAGCTCCGCTTATATTGTAGCCAACAATTTGAAGTGTGCTAAACCAATATTCGTACAAATCAGAGAAAAGTGGCAGAGGTGTTACCTGGGTGTATACGAGAACGAAGAATTTAGGATCAATTATGAAATGGCACACCTGAAGATCATGCCGTCTCGTTCCAGATATCTCGGAGGGCTGATGCAGATGTTCAAGGAGAAATTAATGCCGCCTATGGGTTGGCACAGTCTTGTGTCTCTACAACATACTTATGCTCTTCAGGATTTCGGGAGATTTTACTGGAAGCAGGACCAGATGTCAGGTGACACATTCGATATCGAAACAGTTTTCATCTTACCTTTTGGAGTAACTGTTGATCCGGTGAATACTTTGTTTCTCAAAACAACTTGGAACCATCGGTCTTCGAGAAGTCTTGTGGATGAAGAAAACCATACCCATTTCGTAGCCACGAGTGCCGACAAATGGTCCTGCATGGTCAAAATGACTAAAGAACCAACTTGCCTCCTGGAGGGTGCCCTCTCCGAGTTCTTGCATATCCTTGGTAATCATTCCACCGTTTACAATGTCTTGGGAGATTTTGTGACACTGCCCACTGTAGAGAATAACCCCCTCGATGTTTTAACGGAACCTGCCATACCAACTATTTCTGCTTTACTCACACGGGCTGCTAGACGATCTTTGTCAAAAAATAAAAGAAGCAGTCCTCCTATTTCAGAGTCGGTTCTTGTGTCGTTACTGTACTTTTTGTTTCCTGATGCTGATGAGAACTCCAATTTTCCATATAATATTGAAGAAGATAAAGAGTTAATTTCAAAGATTGGTCCACCTGAATCTTAGATTTGTTGTCTTTCTCATCCTGTTTTGGACTAACTCATTTAAATTCATAAGAGATTTGATTTAACAAAACCCAATATTTTTTGAAGGCCATCATAAACTTATTTGTTATTATTCAGGACAATGACATACAGTGTTACCAACGTCATGGATACAAGTTTACATTAATACCTACTTTTCTCAGGACTCATCTTTCAAAAAATGTCGGGATCAATTTATTTTTGAAGATTGGTTAACCTGAATCTTAGATTTTTAGTCTTTCTCATCCTCTTTTAGACTAACTCATTGACCTTCATAAGAGATTTGATTTAACAAAACTCAATACTTTGGAAGGCCATCATAAACTATTTGTTATTATTCGAGACAGTGACATGCAGTTTTACCAACGTCATAGATACAAGTTTACTTTAATACCTATTTTTTCAGGGCTCGTGTTTCAAAAAATTCATAAGAGATTTGATTTAACAAAACCCAATACTTTTATGTACACAGGATATATTTCATCATTACTTTAGTAACCATGATTTATTTCATGCAAAATGATATTTGATTGAACGATGGATTTGGATGTTTTGCCGTTCTCATGTATTTTTCTGCAGATAGAATATCTGTGAATTTTTCCAACATTTTTGTTGCTGTCATTATTCCAAAGAATCATTCGCCATATCTTTAATATTGTTTTATTAAAGTGGATCATCAGTAATACCAGTAACAAATTTCTTGGCCTAACAATCACACCTATACCTTACTCTTATTTTGTTAATAACATGAGAAATACCCTTATGGTTACTGCTACCAATGGTGGTAATATTTGCTTCTTGTGCTTGTAATACATCTGATAGGTCACTAGTAAATAACATACTCCGTCTTAGTTCATCTCCCCACCGTCACTATAAAATGGCATCGTTTTTTTTTTTCAGAAAATATTCCAGAACCTTGAAGAAGAGTTCAAAAGCTTCAAAACGTGCGGGAAAGACTCTCTAATCTGGCGACTGTCGATTGTTTTGGCACACTGCCTCCAATCTCTTGGAGGCCTAAGAGCGTTCGCCCATATTTGGTATGAATTTGTTCAGGAAATGCGATATCGATGGGACAAATGTATGCCGATACCAGGGTGAGTGAAAGAATATATGTACTTTTTTGTGATTTTTTTTGCATGAGGCATATGTTCGAAAAGGATGAATGTCTAGTCCAAATCCAAAAGTGCAATTGCTAAGTTATTGAATAATATCTGTGATAGCTTAGACAAGGATAATGAAACTTTGGTATTGCTGTCTTCCTTCTTTTGGAGGAACCCCGCACGTTTTTGTATAAACATGGAGCAGTCAAAACCAAGCAGCTCATTTTCTAAAAACTCTTCGAATAATTTACCCCTTCCAGTTCAACTTTGGTGTTTTTCTAAAACTCAGCAAGGCTTTTCATACTTCTTCATAAACTAGAAATTAAGGAGAATATCCTGGTGATAATTTGAGACAATATCTAAATGAGTATAGAAACTTCACTGTTCAATTGGTGCTCCACAGAGATCCATATTTGGCCCGCTTTTGTTTGTAATATATGTCAGTGATTTTGTACAACATGTATGCTGATTTTACTTTGCTATTAGGAACAACCAGCACGGTCAAGTCAACAAGAATAAAACCTATGGAGGTTTTACCAACGCAATAAATTCAAGAGAATTGAAACTTTCTCTTTTCTTCATTATGATTTCCTACCACGTAGTAAGGGCTACATCCATCAATTTATTGGAGTGAATTCAATCCTTTCTCTTTGTAATATTAATTTAGATATTCAAAATCCATATATTTCATACTTGTTTGTAATATCTAATAGACCAATTGGTTTATAGAAAAATTAGGACTAGTATAAAGTACCCCGAAGTCAATTGGAATGGCATAAAAACTAAATAGATACCGAACGTCGGCAATTTCTTTGTATGGCATGGGCGGCGTGAGCCTAATACGAAGACTAATCATTATTTTCATGTGGGAGGGTTATATGGTATTTTCTAGTAAATGTATCAGACCCGGCACATAAGGCTTCGGATTGAATTCTTATAGACTATACTGATTCAATTTTTTCAAATTATTATGGATCTTCATCAAGTAACAGCCGAATCAATCAGAAAACTGATTAAATTTATTGGAAAATAAATTTAAGAGGGTTTGGAAGTCAATTTTATAACTTGCACATAGGCTTGCTTTGAAACAAAGACTTCGTTAGTTATTTTTGGATCCTCATCATGATATGATTTTTCAAAAATATACGAGTGTTACGAATTTTATTAGTATGTATACATGAAATTTTTCAAATCGTTAATAAATTATTCAACGTTGACACCGAAAAATTAATCATTGTAATAGAAAACAGAAAGTTAATATATTTTGAGCCACGTTGAAATGATCATATTTGATTTCCTACATATCAGATTTTCGGAAAAATGGCCCCTGAATGAGCATTTTCAACTATAATAGAGAAAATCTGACATCATTAAAGAGCAATGTGATTATATAGGTAGGCTAATTCCTAGAAAGGGAAAAGTCCATTACGCTAGGACACTCAGGTATTCGAAATCAGAAAAAGTCATTAAGTTCTTGAATTAATCAGAAAGTTGGTTCTTTCAACGGAAAGTTCTCAAAAGTATTTTTTTGAGATATACAACTGAGAAAGTTTTTGGTAAGGCAGATTCCCCACTAAAAGAGAATACCGTTAACGTAACACTGTAACAATGTAAAAATTTGAGTCTACTGGTTCAATATATGATCAACCAACACCCTTACATAGACGAAACGCAAGATCTGCCTAAACCATCCCGCTGTCTGTGAGAGTGTGCAGGAAAATCCGAAGCAGTCGATTTCGTGTCGCTCTCAAGAACTTGGTCTTTCGTAGACCACAACTTGGTGAATTTTGCGAATTGACTGAAGGTAATTGACTGAAGGTAAACGACCGTAGGCAACGACTTGTGTTTGCTAAATGGGCTCTAGAGCAGTTGACCACTGACCCTAATTTTTATCGAAAAATCGTCTTCAGCGATGAGGCCCATTTCTGGATGAATGGGTACGTGAACAAACAAAATTACCGAGTATGACCCTATATTATTCTGTTGTGGTCTTATAGCTTGATTTATGAATGAACGCTGAATATTTTGATCAATGAAAAAAAATTTCACGTTTTTATGCTTCAGGTTTCATGTCTACAACTGCTTTCAAACTCGAAAAGCAACGACACTGAAAACCTCAGCCGTGAAAGTCCAAACCATTTTGTCAGTAGACATTTTCTGTTGATATCACAGAAATTTTAATAATGGAAGTGTATATGAATCCGTTAACGTTTAAATTCATGAAAAAACTCTCCATATGAAATAAAATGTACTCCAAAATCATGATTCTAAATAGAATTCAACGAGCTATATTTTTAAATAGTTCTTGAAGGCTCATGAACCCCAATAAAATAAATCAATTATGCATTCATGCCACCCACCAAAAATAAGAAAGTCAGCGTTATATATTAGCCATACTCCCACCCAGTCAGCTATCTCTCTTGAATGTATGAGCCAATGTACTCTCTAATGTTTCATACCTTCGTATTTTTGGTAAAATAATTGACACTTGGCAACACCGCTGTAGACGCGATCAATTTTATTGGACAACAGACACGCGGCAAATTTAAACTCTTGCTTCTCGAATTTTCCCTTTTTCTGCAAATATAAAGAGGTATTGGGACAGATTAGGCTCGATAAGTATAATATACCTCCAACTCGATCAGTCTATAAGCAAACCAGTATCATTTTCAATAGCATGAAACAAGTTCATTGATGAGTGATCCCACTAGATTTTAATCTATCTAGAATTGGCCTAGTACCATAGTTTCACATCACTCTTCAAGGCTTTAAGCTTCTACTAACAACTTCACCAAATCCTAGTGATTCCGCACACACTCATCAAAACTAAAACCTCTTCCCCATCCTCAGAAACTTCTACAGAGGCACTAAACCGTTCCTGGTCGTCGGATTCCTCGCCATGTATATGTCCATGTCGTGATCCGTCCAGTTGTCGGAATTGTCGCAGTAATTGTTGAGGGTGTGGGTAGACCCAGCGGTGCTGTATCTGCTGCTGGGTCGCTGGTGATCTCGCGATCTTGACCTGGGCCTCGAGCGCCTGCTCGAGGACATGACGGAGTGAGGGGGCGGGACGTGGTGGGGCGGTCTAGCAAGCATCCTGTCGGGCGACAAGGCTAGGGATTGACGGGACTGGCGAAGATCTGAAAGAAGTATTCATTTATTTGGATGTAGTGTCATGAGCTGAGTCACTATAAGCAAAATGTCAAGCTCAACAGAAACATCTCTGAAAACCTAAATTAGTTTGAGTCCGTGCGCGACTTGTTTTATGTTTATGCAAGATGTGTGATGTAAAGTGTTTACAACAGGTTTTTTTTCTTTCTTCTGCCAGAAATCTGCTACACAATTTCAGACAAGCTCAGGAAATAACAAGGCGAAATCAAGCTTGTGGGCGATGTTATAGTTTGAGTTGAATCAAAGTCAAGCTTGTAGTAGAGGTTCTAACCAAAGTCGAATTGAAATCAAGTTTGTGATTGAAGTTATTGCTAAGAAATTAAAACCAAAATTGGATCTCAAAAGCAAAGACAGTCCTTGGACATCTGGCTAGAATATCGGAACACCTAGATCTTCTATATAACTGATGATTGCCGGAATCCTGGAACCCATATCAGAGGAGTAGAAAAAAATCGTTGTTTCCTTGATGGTTCTTGGAAATAGGATTACGATCAGTAGTTTCAAGTTTCAATGCATTAAGCCTTGGGGTAAGACCCTATATTTTGTCACGGATCAGATTGATAATCATTCCTATCGAGGAGACGGATGAGAAGTACGTAATATTTAGTATTTTTTTTGGAATAGTTGACGCTCTGATACTAGTATTGTTTTCCATTGAAACAAACAGGGAAAACTTCTGACGTGTTTCAACAGGTTGCAATGCATATTTCATCAGTTCGGACTTCCATTCTCTAATATAATATTAATCGATTTGAAATCCTCGAAAAAATTAAAAAGATTTACCGACAATAACAATTTTATTAAACAAAAAACAGAAATTACAAAGAAATAACATTCAAGCAACTACCATACAACATACAAGCGAGAACCAGTTCCAACTTCTAACGTCAGCAATGAAGAACGAAGAGCCCTGAACGGGCTACGTAGAGACAACACCATCAAGATCTTACCTGCAGATAAGGGAAACGCTACTGTTGTGATGGATACTGATCTCTACGAACAGAAGATCGAAGAGGTGCTATCCAAAATCCACAAAAAGGATGTTCCGCTTAGACCGATCATTAGCTCCAGAGATTCAACCACTCAGAATTTGTCTAGATTTTTAGTATCAATAATTAAACCATTGCAAGGTAAAACATCATCTTTTGTGAAAAATTCAAGGCATTTCGTTGAACAACTAGGGAAAATCGAAGTCAAAGAACAGGATCAACTGATCAATTTTGACGTGGAAAGCCTCTACACCAACGTTCCTGTCGAAGAAGGAAAGGAAATCATACAGAAGGAGCTATCCGAAGATGGAGACCTGAAAGATAGGACAAACTTATCGATACAAGTAATCATGGAATTACTAGGATGCTGTGTACGAAACTGCTACTTCCAACTGAAGGACGAATTCTTTACGCAAGATGAGGGACTGCCAATGGGATCGCCACTTTCACCGGTTATAGCTAATATATATTTGGAGTGGTTTGAAACTCTGGCCATTGAAGAAGCCCAGAAGAAGCCCCGAGTCTGGTTGAGATACGTAGACAACACCTTCATAATATGGAACCATGGGAATGCAGAAGTAGACACTTTTCTGATGCAGATCAACAACGTAAGTCCTTCCTTTACTTTCACAATGGAGAAGGAAGTCCACAACGAATTGCCTTTCTTAGACGTGATGGTGAAGAGGACCGAAACTAAATGGGAAACATCTGTATATCGAAAACCCACTCACACAGGACAGCATCTGAACCAGAAATCCAACCACTATCAATCGACTAAGAGAGGAATCATCAAGACTCTACTAGGCTGTGCCTTCGGGCTCTGTAATATAAAGGAAGGTCTCGGAAAGGAACTAGGCAACATGAAAAATGACCTTCAACGAAATGGTTACTCCAGAGTAATGGTAGAACAGGCTTTAGCTAGAAGACAGCAAGAGCTCCACAAGGAAGAGAATGTTATTTTCGGTTAATCTTTTTAATTTTTTTCAGGGATTTCACATCAATTTATATTATATTAGACAATGGAAGTCCGAGCTGATGAAATACGCCACGAAACATTGTCAACCACCTTCAAACAAAGGTTGTAATGCATTTTCTCATGAAATTGCTGCTTTTGAGAACTCTTCCAATGTAATTCTTCCACCACTATCATAACCTATGATGAATGAACATTTACTAAAACTGGATTCTCTCCAACTCATTTGTCCATAAGGATTTTCTAAACCTAAATTCGGTGAACGAAGTGTTTTCCGGTTATTCTGGTGTTAATATCGTTCATATAAAAACTCACCTTGTCTAGATGCCAGAAGGTTATTAGGGAAGGCAGCTGAAGTCAGATATCTTCCAGATTGATTAGAGAAGCTATGCTGTGATTGCCCGTCTGCCACGGAACGTGGTTTGTTGCCTTTTGCTCCGAAACCTGTTCGCATTTCGTCCAAAGATGGAGGTTGATCCACCGTATACATCCTGGGTCTCTGACTATGGGCGCTATAGGCAGATACTTGGTCCCAGTCCTTTGAAAATATAAAATTATCACGGAATAATAAGTAGGCGAGATTTGAACTTTAATGTTCAAAGATGCGGAAACATACATGGAAAATCCCAGAAAAAAAATAGTCCTTGGAAACAAAGAAAACAAAAAATGATTCAGTGTTTTCAATTTATTATATTTGTCCAAAAAGAAAGTTCGTGTTTAGTATCAAACATGTCCAGGAAGAGTGTAAATCAGCTTGGTCCTGATGAAAGGTATTTTTAAAATTGCTTAAGATCAGTTTATCTTCAACATACTCTTCTTTCAAAGAGGTGAAAATGAAATAGAACTGAGAGAGGTTTAAATGTATAAATGTGTTTGAACACCTCTAGGACGGTAAAAACAACTCCAATGACATGGCATTCTGATGAGAGCAGATGTGCCTAATTGGGTGACATACATTCATATAGATTTTGCAAGAATTGGATGAATCTTCTTTTGAAATTATTCAACGGTGAATCGAATACTAGGTGAGTGAAGTTTTATTAAACAAAAATCTTAATCTCTCATGTTCTCATTCATCATATTAGTACTTGATTTTATCTGTATCTGTAGAGTAGTATCCTCCTCCCGAGGAGTTGTCCTCTTAGGCCATCTCCATCCTGTCTTTTCCAGGAAGATGGACAGGTTACTGAGAGACATCTCCTTTATATCGGCAGGTGTAGGCCAAGACTCGCCGAACACACACTCTATTATTGATAATAACTTCGGGCAGTCGCATAGGACATGCCTGACAGTTTCATCTTCCTGTTCACACATCCTGCATAGAGGTGTGACCACTAGCCCTATATTATGGAGGTGTTTCCTTAGTTGACAGTGACCAGTCAGAAATCCTTCTGTTAGATTTTTCCCGGTCATCGCCAAATATTTCTTTGGCGCAGCTTCTCAGAGTCGCCCAAGGTGATCCTGGCAAGATTGCATTTCACAAATCTACTATCCGAGAATGTTTATAAGTCAGACCTTGTCCAACGAAGGCTTCCCAATGATTCGAATCATGAGGATTTTTTTTTGGACTGCATAAAGGACTATTTTTTATATTCATGACAGAATACTTTGTTAGGTTCTTCTCGCTCTCAGATCTCATGACCAACCTTTCCACGTCTGAAAATCAATAGAAAAAGGTTTGGTATACCTAATCAGGTGAACCTAAGACGATTTATTATTTGAACTTGAAGATTCATTTGATGAGTTTGTAAAGTGAGCTTGGTTCTCATCCCGATAGTTTTTGTTCTTATTCTCAGATGGAAATTCAACATAAGCAATATCAGATTCAAGTAATGACACCGCCAACGGGGGGCAGAGGGGGCAGTTGCCCCCCCTAGAGATCAAATGTAGCTAGTCGCAAAGCGACCAAAGTGCGAGCAATTGACTTCCTTACCTAGTGATAAATATTGCATCGCATGACAACGTAAATAAGTTTACAAGGTTTAATGTATATTGTAGAAAGTCTTGATATATTCAGAATAACATTATCCGTTTTTAAAATCGCCGCCATTATCATCAGATTTGCCATTAAACAGTGTAAAAATATGTAGGTAGGAGGTAAGTATGGTATGCGTATGTTGTGTGCAACGGTAGTTTTGTATAATTTGTATGCGGCATACCCAAAGTAGAAGATATTGTTACGAACATACAATTTTAATCGGTTTTGTGGACAATGCCATCTGTAAGCGTAAGCCTACAGTTGAATAAATCGACTACAATCCTTGTAAAACCTAGTATTGCTACTCGACGCTAGATGGCGCCTGTTCAATGAACTCTCTGGAATATGGTAGCAGTTTCTAGACCGGGTAGAATGTTACAGTTGTTGATGTCCTAAAGGAAACAAATTCCTTCTTTCCCGAAACGGAAAAAACATTGAAAATGTTGATCGATTTACCATGCACGACCTATACAGTTTAGTGATCCTTCAGCAGCCTCAAAAGACTGAAAACATGGCTAAGAAGCACCATGGCAGAAGATCGCCTTAATGGTCTGGCAATGATGAGTGTACAAACAGCTGTAATAAATAAAAAGCGAAAAAGTTTTAATGATAACGTGGTTGAAAGTTTTGCAAAAAATCCCTGCAGGTTATGTTTTAATTGAATGTTATTTTTCTTAAAATAAATAATTATTACTGTGTTTTAAAGTGTGATTTAGTAATTGTGCTGTCGAGGGCTTGTGAAGTTTTATACGTTGATATCAGAACCGTTCTTTTTACAATCGTCAACGAGGCAATGACTTTCAAAATGTAACGCTTCATGCTTTCGACTGTACCAGGCGTTCATTATTTTTATCCTCCATAATATTGCCCCATTGCCCCCCCTTAGTTGAAGCTGGCGACGCCCTTGGATTCAAGTCAATGTGAATATTTTTTCCCGATTTGTAAAGCTTCACCATGTAAAATCAAGGGAGCTGTCAACAATTTTCTCTATTGACAGAGTCCTTCACATTCAGTAGCGGACCAATAGATCCCAATAGTCATGAATTTTCATGAAATGGAGCTCGAAAAATATCTTT